CTCATTCTTTTAAACAGCTCAGGCGTTTTGATGGCCTTGTTAACTTTTACCGACGATTTATACCCAACTGCGCCTCGTTGATGCAACCCCTCACGGACCTTCTCCGAGGGAAACGCAAGAAGTTCGAATTTCCTGCCGCAGCACGAGCTGCTTTTAAGTCGCTGAAAGAGGCTATCGCCAACATAGCTTCTATAGCGCATCACGATCCGGCCGCCGCATTGTCCCTCAGTACTGACGCCTCGGACGTGGCAGTCGGCGCTGTTTTGCAGCAACGAGTATCCGACACGTGGCAGCCCTTAGCGTTTTTCTCCAAAGGCCTACAACCTACCGAATCTCGTTACAGCACGTTCGGTAGAGAACTACTAGCAATGTATCTAGCGATACGTCACTTTCGACACGTCTCAGAAGGCCGTTCCTTTGCCGTCTTCACCGACCACAAACCCCTGACTTATGTGCTCGGCTCGACTACCGACCGATACTCTCCTAGAGAGTCGCGCCACCTTGACTATATCGCTCAGTTTACGACCGATATACGGCATGTCTCAGGCGGGCACAACGCCGTCGCCGAGGCACTTTCCCGCATTCAAGCTATTTCCGCTGACGCCGGCACTGCTATCGACTTGACAGCCATGGCCAAAGCACAAGTCAACGATCCTGAGGTTGATCTACTACGCAGGTCTCCCTCATTGGATATACGACCCGTTCAGCTGACATCAGCAGATGGAACGATACTCTGCGATTTATCTCTGGGCACGCCGCTTCCAGTCGTCCCACGCTAGTTTCGGCAGACCGTGTTCGACACGTTGCACGGCTTGTCTCATCCAGGCGTTCGTGCATCGGTTAAACTCGTAACCGCGCAATTAGTTTGGTGAAATGTTAATCAGAACGTCCGTACCTGGGCAGCTGCTTGCCTTCCGTGTCAACGCGCGAAGGTGCACAAGCACACGAGAAGCCCATTAGGCACCTTTCCGACGCAAGACGCACGTTTTCATCACTTGCACGTCGACCTCGTAGGTCCTCTTCCGCCTTCCAAAGGATCTGTAAATCTACTGACCTGGCACAATAAACGGCCTCATGATACTGGCCTCCGTCTGGCACATGACCTGTATGCTTGGTTCCCTGCAAAGTTGCAATTTCAGGCCTCTGATTGACTTTAGCCTCTCGGCTCCACCATCATGAATCTCAGCTCACAATTACGTTCTCCTCTCTTGTTTGGCCTCTCTTTTGATCCATATCGCATTGGTTCAATGGCGGTATAAGTATCACTAGCATCAGCGCAACATCCTAGGCTTCCTTTGATTCTATTTGCTACTGTGGTACTAGTTTTAAACCTCTTTGACTAGTCCGGCCTCTCAGTCCCCAAATGCCCATAGGTATCAAACCAAGGCCTCTCTTCTTTTGAGGATCGACTGCCACCGATTAATGTTCTCATTTGTATAATTAACCACCTCATGTACTCTGCTCCGCCTGGTACATTACCGGCATGCTTTGTCCTTCTACCGAAATTAAAATTTCAGGTCCTTGGCTGAATTTTGCCTCTCGGCTCCACTCTCATGCTTCTCAGCTCACAATTACGTCCCACTCTCTTGTTTGGCCTCTTCTATGGTCCATATCGCATCGGTTCAATGGTGGTATAGGTTGTCATAGCGTCAGCACAACATACTAAGCCACATTTGATTCGCTTTCATACTGCGCCATGCACTCTTAAACCTCATGGACCGCACCAGCCTCCGGCTCTAAATGCCTATAAGTCTTAAACAAAGGCTTCTCTTCCTTTGAGCATCGATTACAGTTTTCATTGGCATAAGAAACAGCCTCATGTACACGCCGCCGTCTGACACATTATAATATGCTTGGACCCCTGCAAATTGCAATTTCATGTCTCTGATTGACTTTTGCCTCTCGGCTCCATTATCATGCATCTTAGCTTACAATTACATTCCCCACTCTTGTTTGGCCTCTCTTTTTTTTATATCGCATGGCTTCAATGGCGGTATAGGTGCCTCTAACGTCAACGCAACTTATTAGCACCAGTTTGATTCCCTTTGCTACTATGGCACTCATCGTTAAACCTGTTGGACTACTCCGGCCTCTCAGCCTCCAAATGCCTATAGGTCTCAAGCCAAGGCCTCTCTTCCTCTGAGGATCGGCTGCCATCGATTAAGGTTCTTTATGGTATAAGTAACAGCTTCATGATTCTCGTCTCCGTCCGATTCATTATCTGTACGCTTGGTCCCCCTACCTAAATCGAAAGCTCATGTCCTAGATTAATCTTGCCTCTCGGCTCCACTGTCATTCTTGTCAGCTCACAAGCATCGTCTTCATCTCTTGTTTGGCCTCTCTTTTGGTCCATATCGCATCGGTTCAGTAACGGTACAGGTACCTCTAACGCCAGCGCAACTTACTAGCCCCCGGTTGATTCTCTTTGCTACTGTGACACTCATTATTAAACCTACTGGACTTGTCCGGCCTCTCAGGCTCCTAATACCCATCGGTCTTAAAACAAGGCCTCTCTAATTCGAGCATCGGCTGCCGTCGGCAAATGTTCTCATTTGTATACTTTACCGCCTCATGTACTCTCCTCCGCCTGGTACATTACCGGCATGCTTTGTCCTTCTACCGAAATTAAAATTTCAGGTCCGTGGTTGAGTTTTGCCTCTCGGCTCCACTCTCATGCTTCTCAGCTCACAATTACGTCCCACTCTCTTGTTTGGCCTCTTCTATGGTCCATATCGCATCGGTTCAATGGTGGTATAGGTTGTCATAGCGTCAGCACAACATACTAAGCCACATTTGATTCGCTTTCATACTGCGCCATGCACTCTTAAACCTCATGGACCGCACCGGCCTCCGGCTCTAAATGCCTATAAGTCTTAAACAAAGGCTTTTCTTCCTTTGAGCGTCACATACAGTTTTCATTGGCATAAGAAACAGCCTCATGATACTGGCGCTCGCCTGGCTCATTACCTGTATGCTTAGTTCCCTGCAAAGTTGCAATTTCAGGTCTCTGATTGACTTTCGCCTCTCGGCTCCACCATCATGAATCTCAGTTCACATTTACGTTCTCCTCTCTTGTTTGGCTCCTCTTTTGGTCCATATCGCATTGGTTCAATGGCGGTATAAGTATCATTAGCGTCAGCGCAACATCCTAGGCTTCCTTTGATTCTATTTGCTACTGTGGTACTCAGTATTAAACCTCTTCGACTAGTCCGGCCTCTCAGTCCCCAAATGCCCATAGGCATCAAACCAAGGCCCTATTATTTTGAGGATCGGCTGCCACCGATTAAGGTTCTCATTGGTATGCTTAACTGCCTTGTTTGCTCGCCTCCGTTTGATCCATTATCTTCATGCTTGGTCGTTCTATGGAAATTGCAATCTCAGGTCCCTGGTTGAGGTTTGCCTCTCGGCTGCATTTTCATGCTTCTCAGCACACAATTACGTCCCCCTCTCTTGTTTTGCCTCTCTTTTAGTCGATATCGCAACAGTTCAATGGCGGTATAGTTAGCACTAGCGTCAGCGCAACATCCCAGTTCTCTTTTGGTTACCTTTCCTTCTGTGAGTCTCAATCCAAAACATTTTGGCGAAGTCAGTCCTCTGAGGCTCCAAATGCATATTGGTCTCAAGCCAAGGCCTCGCTTATTTTGAGCACCGGCTGCCATCTACTCAAGTTCTCATTGGTATAAGTTACAACCTTTTGATACTCTTTTTTGTCTTAATCATTATCTCTATGCTTGGTAAAGCCTACCGAACTCCGAATTTCCGGTCTCTGATTGAGTTTGGCTCTCGGCTCCACTATCATGTATCTCAGCTCACATTAACGTCTTCCTCTCTTGTTTGGCGTCTCTCTTCGTTCATATGGCAACTATTCGATGGTGGTATAGGTACCAATAGCCTCAGCTCGTCGGTGACTCCATTGATTTCAACCAGCACAACTTTACCGTAAATTTTATATTTATACAAAACAAAGCCCTGTTTAATTTTGTTGGCAGTTTGCTCGGTCCGTTTTTCTTCTTACCCTTGTTCTACAGGATAACATTACCTGCACCGAACACCGCTGAAGACGTACCTGCGACGCTCTCATGGGGACGAATTCAATAAAGAACAAAGAAAAAACCCGCACTTCATAATCATGACACACTAACGAACCTAGGAAACTGATCAATTCAATACAAGTCACCCGAGTCGTCCGACTTCAACAGCTCCAACCACTTGTACTGGACTCCGAAGGCGACTACACAGTCATAGGAAACAAATTGGCGTTACGTGACTGCAAATATCCGCGAGGGTAATCGGTCAGATACAATCTTGCCAATGTTATATCAACAGCCGGCAGTGTTCCAGGACGTGGTGGGTCTTCGTCTGGCAAGCGTTTTCCCTACGAAAGACCACAAATGTCTGTTTAACAACACTGCGACGTGGCGGACGTGACTCGCCACTCAATAAAGTCACCGCCCCTAACACTGGCAAGTTGACTGTCACCACATTTACAAGTTCTGTGTATATATCGGCTCTCGCACGAACCCGCCTTCATATCTGATTAGTGACACACCACTATTCTTAAGTATTTTTCACCCGTTCCCTCATATTTCACTCACTGACTTACATTGCTTACGGGACCTCATCGGACTAGTTCCTCATCAACATACCATATAAGTGATCTGATTAATCTCTGTACCTCTCGCATTCTGTGTACATAGACTACATACAACATTTGGGCTCTATGGGCCCACACTATTGTCTCCAACTGTACTACTCCCACTGTGGGTGCTGCTTATTCCGCTATCATGTACAATAATGCAATATGATGATCATGCCCAAAAGGCGTGTCTCGCTTTGTCGAGAATAAAATATTTATTTATTTATTTACTAGGTGGCCTGAGGCCGTCCCTATCCCATATTGCTCCTCGGAAACGGTAGAGAAAGCTTTTATGGAGGACTGGGTAGCTCAATACGGCTCTCCTGCCATCGTGACCACCGATCGAGGGTCACATTTCTCGTCGACATTTGCCACGTTGCTTAAGGATTTAGGCTGTCGCCACGTTCAGACGACAGCGTATCATCCGGCCGCTAACGGCATGGTAGAGCGTTTCCACCGCCAGTTGAAGGCAGCGCTACGTGCGCACGCAGATCCTTCCTGGTCTGAAACGCTTCCCCTCGTTCTCCTAGGCTTAAGAAACACGGTTAAGACCGACTTCGACGCCACACCAGCGCAGCTAGTCTACGGTTGCACGCTGCGGTTGCTCGGACAGCTGGTAGCACCAGTCCCAAGTACTTCCACTTTCGACTACGGAAGTTACACTGATCGATTGGCTCACCAGATGCGTGAGCTACGTCCACCCGCTCCTCGACCGCAGAAGATACCAGTGTACGTGCCCGAGAAGCTGTCTACGTGTTTACACGTACTTATTCCCGCAGACGGTGTTCGACAGCCTCTTTAGTCGCCGTACATAGGACCCTCCAAGGTGCTGCATCGTGCGAGTAAGGAGTACACTATTGACCGCGGTAGTCGACACGAAGTCGTCACCATCGACCATCTAAAACCCGCCTTTATGGAAGTAACTACCTCGCCTACTTCGTCTAGTAGTGCCTCGTGCGACGTCACAACTCACCGTACCAGTTTTCTGCATGCTAGTGAAGTCCAATCAGACCACGATCACGATCTGCAAGCTTCAGCAGTCCCGATATCACCCGAACCTAGTCCGCCGCCTCCCACTACCAATCGCCGTGGTCGAGAGGTACGTAAGCCCGTTCGCTTCTCCGACTATGTACAGTGTAAATATTTTTAACTTTGTAAATATTGTTTATATTTGCCAAAATTTTGGTTGATTAACTTTTTGAAAACAAAAACATCAAAAAACCTCCGCAAAACCGCTTTTCGAAAAATATATTCAAAGAACAAAAAGTATTTAAACACGCAGCTCATTCGTTTGTTCTTTTTGGCGTTTTCTGCGCGTGTATTTCTATTTTCTCGTCTCTACATGCCCCAACCCTTCCCTTCGATCGACTGGCACACACGAGGAGTGTTTTCGAGGAACCTAACACGAATACTGGTCGTTTCTCCGCGGGACGAGTGTCGTTTCTTCGCGGGACGAGGGTCGTTTCTCCGTGGGACCATGGTCGTTTCTACGTGAGACGAGGGTCGTTTTGGCGCGGGGCGGGGTGCGGCGGGGGGAGAGATCACGCCAAAACACACCGTTTGGCAGCAGCGGAGGTTGAGGTCCTGTCCGCCTTTTTCTGGGCTAGCCAGTATTTAGTAGTCCGACAAACCCGCTCCAACGGCTCGCCGAAATGCACCCTGCCCTGCATTCAATAAATAACAGATCATAAACGGCACAGCGGACTCCGACTTCCGACGAACCCCCATTTACACGAACGCACGCTCATTTTTACTTGGCACGATTTTGCCTTACGAACCTCGTTTCAACATTCCTTTTCGATTTCGAAGGCTTTCTATGTTCAGTCTTCTAGGGGGGAGCTCTGTAGCGCCCAGAAAGATAACTCTTATCTTTCGTGTACAATTTACATGTTGACCAATTGTACATTACTCCTTCTTGTTTTAATCTTACAACCGGCTCAACACACAACTGCCTTGTAAGTTCCCGCGCTCAGGTGTACGCTCTTGCCTCGGCTTCATCCGTCCGTTTCTTGTTGTAGCCCATCGAATACAGTCCGCTGTGTCCGACTCCAATTGGCTTCTGATATCCGCGCTTAATTCCGCGCATCGTATCGGACTAGTATTAACTAGTCCTACAACTATCGCATTCTCCGTGAGTGCAAGGCACCGTGTGTTGTGCGTCGTGATAACTAATTACAGCCGGGTGGCAAAAGGTATCCAAGTAATTGAACAGAATAAGAAGTATAGGTGTATTAACGGGTGCAAATGAAGCCGTACGGTAGTCTGTTTAACCTACGTCGGGCAAACTGCTGCCATGCAATTCATTGCATTGGAAGGTTACACTCACAAAATCACGCCCAGCATGTTCTTATAACATGGTAGTGCAGCAATGCTCCATATATCGTATTCTGTACACAAGTTTAAGGCTGTTGTTATACGCATACGTTATGGGCAAGTAGAGCATTGAGCCCGCTGATCATTTGGATCATTTCCACTGATCTGTTTGGGTTCCACTTTGTCACTGGCAGAACACTTGACATTAAAATACTAATTATAAATAAATAAACGTTTTATTCCTCGACATTGAGAGGCACAGACTAATTGAGTGGTCTTATCGACACGTGCAACGTGATTGCATAATATAGTTAATTTTACGTGTTTCGTTCAATGGTTCCCAAATGGGTTTTTAAAGTGATTAACAATTTGAAACTAGTAGTGAGATTATGAAACTGCGAATAATAATACATTTAGATTTCACGGAAAGTTCAAGTAAAGTAATGCGGTCATCCGTGGAACTGTGCCCAGGGTACTTGCTTCCATGCAGGGTATTTCCACGATAGGTTTCACCCGCACTTCCATGCTCCAGTTGGCTCTGTGCCGGTGTGGAAAAATAGTAATTAGGCCATCAGACTGGGTATCAACTGTTTTTAGGGCTGTTTCATGCATACATTATAGGCGATGAAGCCTCAGCCCATTTTGTCATGCGGATCAATCAAGTTTAGCCTTTTTATGTTTTAATCCAGCTAGTCAGTAGCAATAGGATTTGCAGGGGGTATACCTTTTTATTTTTGAAGCTGTAAGCCGTCACCACAAGAGATCTTTACAGTCATGACCAACAATGAAATAAAGAAAAGATAAAGTATGAGGCTTTAAAAAACATGATAATGAATACAAACGCTTGCCGATAGGCCAATTACAATTTGATGGAAAATCCTGTCGAGTGACGACGATGGTGCAGAGACATCAGCTTGAAAGGCGTAGTGCAGCTACGAACCAGTGCGACAAAGGAGAAAACAGAATTGGTTAGACAGAGTGATAGAAGTAAGGTCGTTTATAAATACATACCCAAGAATTGTAGGTAATCTTATAACATTGAAACGAATAGGGGAAATGGCGGCTTCTATACATATCCAGGACCTTTCTCATACAAATCAACTTGAGTCATCTTTTGGCTTAGTGTTGACCAGATATTTGCAACAGTCAGGTGAATATTAATCATGCGTCTGAATTGAGAATATGTAGTGCAGTTTCTAATACTCAATGGAAGGTTGTTCCATATTAACGCATATTTTACAGAGAAAAAGATGAGCGGAGCTTCGCGTGAGACCTTTGAACTTAGAGTGTGCGCTCGCTGTTTCTTATTTCATAGCGCAAACGAGTCTCAAACTCGAGTTGTGGCTGAGTAGTGAAGCTTAACCCGAATATTAAGCGGTATTAAAGGGTCAGATTAAGTTTAGGTCTGCGTAGCCATAGCGGCTCCAGATTTAGCGCCTCGAAACGCTCACCTTATGTCATGGTACTTGGCATGTTCAAAAACCTCTTTGTGAATGATCGTTGAATGTTTTTAGTGCTATGATATCCACTTTTCTTAGATTACTATACACTATCGTACAATACTCTAGCTTCGGCCTAACACATTTTAAAGGCTTAAAGCCTGGAATCCCTCAAAATAAGCGTTCGAAATATGTAGGCAATGAGTTTTCTGGTAGAAGCCTACAAGAGTATAACATGTTCTAAACAATTAAACGAGGCAGAATATCTTAGACCAAGGTCTCGGACTGCGACACACAGGCATAAGGGTATCGTTTAATGTAAGGATGTTCAGAGAGGGGCCACTGCCGTGGAACAATAGATTACTCTTGTCAGTGGCAAAGTGCAACTTCCAGGAGTTAATCCAGTGCCCGCGTGCGGACCAGTCAGACTAAATACAGGTTAAATTGGGACTACATTGCCCATGGGCGGAACAATAGACAATTTTACCATCATCAGAAAAAAGGAATGGTTTCCTGCACGAGATTTCACCAAGCAGATCGTTGAAACAGATTAAGGATAAAAGCGGGCCCAGCACACTACCTTGGATCACTCCACTAGAGATTGGAGTGTCTTCAGGCGTACAGCTACCGATTTTGACCACGTGG